TTGTGTCTGTGTTGTGGTTTTAAAGGAGAGTCTGGCGGAACAGAGTAAAAACGTATGCTACTGTTTTGAGTATTGTGTGTGTATGTGTGTGTGTGTGTGTGTGGGGGGGGGGGGGGGCTGCTAATAAACATGTCAAATGTGTAAACTAAGAAATGTTTTTGTTTTAGGATAATAAATGCCCATGGAATTGAGTTGCATCTTGTGCAGACAACATCAGGAATGTATCATGTTTACCGCTCTGTTGCAGCACTTTTTTGTTTTCACAACACCTTGTATGAGTTTCAGGAGACCAATTTCTGTAATTTTGAAAGTTGAATATTTAACCATTCTTGCCTAATGTAATGTGATAACGCTCCAAACGTCTTCAATGGGTATTAAGTCGAGACTGAAGGTAAGCCTGTTTAGCACCCAGACTCCTTCACTGCCATGCTTGTGTCAGACACCTGGAATGTGGTTTGGCATTGTTTTGCAAAAATAAGCAAGGCTGCAACTGTTTATATGGTTCAGCATTAATTCACACATGTGCAGGTTAACCTGCACACTCTTCATTAAATCTCTCCTGATTGAATTATCTATATATCTATGAAACCACACACACATGTTTCTAGGTGTACAAAGAGAGCAATACAACAAAGTTTTGAAATAAGCAGAAACAGATTCACACAGACTAACAGGGTCACAGAAGTATAAGGGTGACATGTTCCATGATTAAAGTTAATATAAAAAGCTGTATTTGATATGCAATGTGATGCATTGCCTGGACAAAATACAGTGTCTTCAACAGAGGATAAAAATCTAAACGGTATGGTGAGCATTTGGTTGAAAGAGTCTTTTATTACACCTGTTCAGAAACCTGGAGGAACTGTGTGTCCCTGGTAGCAAATCATTAGCACCTGTTTTAGGCCTGTCTTTAAGTAGGCCTGCACGATGTGAGAAAATATACAATGTGGGATTAAATTATTCAACATTGCTGTAACGATATGAACTGCCATAAATAAAGAGTGCGTATTAGAAATAAAGCACTCTGATGTCTATCTGCTGTTCTTCACGTGATTGCATCATGATCCTCCTGAATCCTAAATAAAGTAAAAAAAAAAAAAATCTCATATACGGACATGGTGATGAGCTGATCTATCCAGACAGTCTGTCTACATACAACCACAGACAGACGTGAATACACACACAGGAAAACATTCACGTACACAACACAAGCAACACAAATGTGCGTACCTTGAACGAGTATTCTAATCGGACCAGAAAAGGAAAGCTGACAGCCTGAAGAATCCTCTTCTCATTCAGAGTGTGCTCTATCTGCTTGAGCTTGACCACCTGAGAGACAAAGACAGAGAGAAAGTATACTGTCATATAGAAGAATGATTATTTAGAGAATGATCTCATGCATCAGGATAACTAAACTTTTGTTTACCCCCCCCTTCATATAAATGACATGGCTGCCTTTCTATGTTTTTTCAAGGTTTATTTTTTGGCTTTTTATGCCTTTATTTAGAGATAAAAATTAAAAAATTAGAAAGCTAATTTGAAAATTAAAATGCATTAATAGAAATGCTTTTTCATTTTCAGAATATGGGTGTATTATTTGACTCAAAAATAAAATAAATTCTTATTTATCTAATTTGCATTTTAGTTTTCAAATTAGCATTTAAATTTAACTTCTGATCACCAATCGCTTCCATAAGTTAGGTAAGGATCGCAATTCAAAATGTTATTCTTTGGACAGCCGTAACATAAAGAACTCTAAACATGACTGTACTCGCTGACAGGATGTTTATATTGATGTCATCATCATCACCATTCAATTCATTGAAATCCTCAAAGAACACATTGAGGGAGAAATCCTCATTCGCAACGGGGCCGAGGTGCAGGCAACAATAGAGAAGAGGCATGATACAAATAAAACAAGAGCAAGGATAAAACAGGAAGTACATGCAGTTAAAAGGCAATAAAATACAATGAAATAGAGTAAAAATAATAAGTAAGAACACTTCAATATTAAAAGCAAAAACAGTTCAAATCAATAAGATCAGAAATTCAAAGTTGGAATTTTCTTAGCGTTATTAATGTGGTTATCTTAAAATGTTTTTGAAGCTAATTCAAAGTATTTGGTGCGTAGTAACTAAAAGCAGACCTTCCTAACTCTGAGTGGATTCTAGAAACCTGCTTAACTCTCTCCCCTCTCTTCCTTCCCTCCCCTCTGCCCCTACGAACACTGGACGTTGAAACCCCCTCCCATTTGCCACCAAGAACTCTGGACTAATAACTCTCAAGCTAACTATTCAAAAGTACACTCAGTTTACTGCACATTGCACATATTGCACAAGTTTACTTTTTCTTTAAATTTTATTTTATTTACCATTTTGTACCTTTTGCACAATTTAGAATTTATTACTGTAAATATTATTTATCTTATTTTTACCTCATTTTATTTCATCTATTTTACCTTATTTTGGTTGTATTGCACCGCGGGATGGAGACAAACGCAATTTCGATTCCACTCTATGTCTGGCATATTTTGAAATTGACAATAAAGTTGACTTTGACTTTGACTTTGACTGCAGGCTGAGCCATGACTGCGAGTGTGTATTGTGGCTACTCCCGTTAAAACAAAGCACAGTTGAGCGATACAGAGGAAGTTTATTTAAAAGGATGAGATGAAGAAGCTAACTTTTTGGTCTATATGAGAATGGTCTGTAAAGCAAAAAAAATTAAAATAATTAAAAGCCCAAGAATTCTAACTGTCAACAACACTTAGATACCATGTCATCAAAAAAAACAATGGAATTAACTTTACATCTTCTTCTACATCAGTTTATGCTGGAAGTATGTTAGGCGTTTCATGACAGCAGGAACTTCTTCATAGTTCGAACTGTTGGAACCCTCCCCCTTTTTCATTGATTACGCACAGCAAATTACAGTAAATAACAGTTGGTAAAAGTTCTTAAAAAAATCATTAAAAAGGAAAAAAAAAACAGACAAACAACAAACAACAAACCCCAGGTATTATTGAGTGTTTATGCGAAAAAGCATATTAAAAAGTCTTTGAAAGTATTTCATGCTGGCTTGTTAAATTGGGTATCCACCACACAGCGTATGCGTTGTGGGTCTCATTCACTAACAGTGTGTTTGCACAAATATGTGCTTAAACCGTGCGTACGAACGTTTGAAGCACAAATCTGGGATTCATCAATATATTCTTACTTGAATTTATTCTTACTCTGCGAACAAAAATAGTACTTCCTCACACCATGCATACGCACAAAGGATTGACCAGCTTTCTCAGAAAATGTTAACACACACTCTTTTTAACTAAATGCATGACATATTAAAAATACATTCAGTAAAAGAAAAAAAAAAAAATATATATATATATATATATATATATATATTTTTTTTTTTTTTAAACAGTTTTTAAAAAACAGAAGCTTCTAGCTTTATCAAAAGAAGTTCAAATCAGCTCCACATTAAGAAGCTGCATTAAGTTATATAGAGTGATGCACATAACTACACTGTTTTCAAAGATAAATGCCTGTGTCTATGCGTACTACTACGTCTTGAAAAGGGGTCAGAGATTTCAGGTAATAAGGACAAACCAGACAAACCAGTCCAGTGGGTACCAAAATGAGTCCACACCATGATCTGCATAAAAACAATCGTAGTCCTTCCTGTCCCGCTGAGGCCTCCTTCAGCACAGGCAGGATCAAAGAGGTTCAAAGGGAAAAGGAGGCTTCACCTGTGTTTGAGTCCAGTCTACAGCAGCAGATACAGAGCACCTCAGGGTGTTCATTCATGTCTCAAGCTTAATCAGGGACATGTATCCTCTGTGACCATCCTATAGGATCCTTTGAGTGTCCTATAATGAGGGACACATTTAGACACCTTCCATCCCAGTGTGACCCCTGACCCTGACCCGGACTGACCTTCTGCTTGTTGAGGATCTTCATGGCGTAGTGCTGTCCCGTTTCTTTGTGCCTCACCAGCATCACACGGCCGAAAGAGCCCGTGCCCAGGGTTTTCAACCTCTCAAACTGCTCCAGGGAAGCAGTGTTCTGCACAAACAAACAAAAAAACAAACAGGAGTGAATGTGTGTGTCCTATAATCACACTTTCTATTCATTCTGTATCATACATGTTTTCTTCACAGGAGAGCAAATGTTTGGATGTGGGTCCATGGCATGTTTAAATCCTACAAACATTGATCCCAAATTGTATTGTTTTATTGTTATACATGAATTAAGTCAGTTTACTTTTAAAACGTGTCATATTCATTCAGTCATGTGACCGGCGAGGAGGCTTGGAGGGCAAAAATAACTTAAAGGTCACATATTATGCAAAATACACTTCACCATGTGTTTCTAACACTAACATGTGTTTCTAGTCTGTCTACAAACCCCCCAATTATGAGACAAGTCCATCCTCTCCACTTTTCAGAAAATGTGTGCTCAAACAGGCCGTTTGGAGATTTTCCCTTCATGACATCACAAAGGGCAGTAACCCCTCCCCCAGGTGGGTGACACTCCCACAGCTAGTTGTTTGTTCTGCCCTCTGAGTCTGCCTTCTCACTGTAAATAATGGAACATGGTGAATGAAAACCTGAGCTACCCAAGCCCTTCGAGAGAGGGGCGTGGTCAGACACAGCTCATTTGTATTTATAGCCACAGACACAGAAACAGCCTGTTCTGAGCAGGGCTGATATAGAGGGGTTTATAGGCATAATCAAGTACAGGACTAGAGTGGATTTTTAGTATCACTATAGAAATTCCCAGACAAATTTTGGAGAGCACCAAAACGTATTAATATGATATGTTGAAAATGGGGATAATATGTGACCTTTAAAACCATGAAAGTGGAAATGTTGATATCTTGAGTGACATAAGCTTAAATAAAAACTCCAGCATCTTTGTATTCAGGCTAATGAATGCATTAAAATTCCACACGCACGCACGCACACACACACGCACACACACACGCACGCGCACACACACGCACGCACACACACACGCACGCACACACACGCACGCACGCACACACACACACGCACACGCACGCACACACACACACACACACACGCACACACACACACACAAACACTGACCTGTGCAGGGTTCTCCCACTTCTTGAGAAAGTCCTCTTTGGCTTTAGCAAGGAACTCTTTGACTGTGGAAGACAAAACAACAAGACAGGCTTCAGTGTGATAATAAATGTATTTAGGGAGTGAAAGAAACCAGAAAGACATAAAAAGAAGGATGTCTCCACTTTCAGGGAGCCAGGGGAATACTTAGAAAATCTGAATAACATTTAAAGATTAGTCGTTAATTAAGAATAATTTTCCTTGTTCGATCACTTCTGGACTTCAATGGACATAAAACACGGAGAAAGAGGAAAACAGATCAAATTTAAAGAGCACATATTATGCCCTTTTTGGGGTTCATATATTTAATTTATGTACCTACTTTTGTACGTTCACAATCGCTAAAGTTCAAAAAAAGTGTCTGTTTTCATGTACTGCTCCTCCTTGCTCCCTCAATGCTCTGAGTCCGTCAGCTACACTCTGCTGAGCCCACACTGTTAGACCCTACGTGGGCCAAGTCTGCTCTGATTGGTCTGCCGATCCGCTCTGTCGTTATTGGTCAATTGCTCAGCACGCTTCTCGGAAATCTCTCACATCACATTCTACAAGCTCACATCACATTCTACAAGCTCTCACATCACATTCTACAAGCTCACATCACATTCTACAAGCTCTCACATCACATTCTACAAGCTCTCATCACATTCTACAAGCTCTCACATCACATTCTACAAGCTCTCATCACATTCTACAAGCTCTCACATCACATTCTACAAGCTCACATCACATTCTACAAGCTCTCTCATCACATTCTACAAGCTCTCATCACATTCTACAAGCTCTCACATCACATTCTACAAGCTCTCACATCACATTCTACAAGCTCTCTCATCACATTCTACAAGCTCTCATCACATTCTACAAGCTCTCACATCACATTCTACAAGCTCTCACATCACATTCTACAAGCTCTCATCACATTCTACAAGCTCTCATCACATTCTACAAGCTCTCACATCACATTCTACAAGCTCTCATCACATTCTACAAGCTCTCACATCACATTCTACAAGCTCACATCACATTCTACAAGCTCTCATCACATTCTACAAGCTCTCACATCACATTCTACAAGCTCTCACATCACATTCTACAAGCTCACATCACATTCTACAAGCTCTCACATCACATTCTACAAGCTCTCTCATCTCATTCTACAAGCTCTCTCATCTCATTCTACAAGCTCACATCACATTCTACAAGCTCTCACATCACATTCTACAAGCTCTCTCATCTCATTCTACAAGCTCTCTCATCTCATTCTACAAGCTCTCACATCACATTCTACAAGCTCTCACATCTCATTCTACAAGCTCTCTCATCACATTCTACAAGCTCTCTCATCTCATTCTACAAGCTCACATCACATTCTACAAGCTCTCACATCTCATTCTACAAGCACACATCACATTCTACAAGCTCTCTCATCACATTCTACAAGCTCACATCACATTCTACAAGCTCTCACATCACATTCTACAAGCTCTCTCATCTCATTCTACAAGCTCTCTCATCTCATTCTACAAGCTCACATCACATTCTACAAGCTCTCACATCTCATTCTACAAGCTCTCTCATCACATTCTACAAGCTCTCTCATCTCATTCTACAAGCTCACATCACATTCTACAAGCTCTCACATCACATTCTACAAGCTCTCATCACATTCTACAAGCTCTCTCATCACATTCTACAAGCTCTCATCTCATTCTACAAGCTCTCACATCACATTCTACAAGCTCTCATCACATTCTACAAGCTCTCTCATCACATTCTACAAGCTCTCTCATCACATTCTACAAGCTCTCATCTCATTCTACAAGCTCTCACATCACATTCTACAAGCTCTCACATCACATTCTACAAGCTCTCATCACATTCTACAAGCTCTCTCATCTCATTCTACAAGCTCACATCACATTCTACAAGCTCTCATCACATTCTACAAGCTCTCATCACATTCTACAAGCTCACATCACATTCTACAAGCTCTCATCTCATTCTACAAGCTCTCATCACATTCTACAAGCTCTCATCACATTCTACAAGCTCTCATCACATTCTACAAGCTCTCTCATCACATTCTACAAGCTCTCTCATCACATTCTACAAGCTCACATCACATTCTACAAGCTCTCTCATCTCATTCTACAAGCTCTCATCACATTCTACAAGCTCTCACATCACATTCTACAAGCTCTCTCATCACATTCTACAAACTCTCTCATCTCATTCTACAAGCTCACATCACATTCTACAAGCACACATCACATTCTACAAGCTCTCACATCACATTCTACAAGCTCTCATCACATTCTACAAGCTCTCACATCACATTCTACAAGCTCTCACATCACATTCTACAAGCTCTCTCATCACATTCTACAAGCTCTCTCATCACATTCTACAAGCTCTCACATCTCATTCTACAAGCACACATCACATTCTTCAAGCTCTCACATCACATTCTATAAGCTCTCACATCACATTCTATAAGCTCTCACATCACATTCTACAAGCTCTCTCATCTCATTCTACAAGCTCTCACATCACATTCTACAAGCTCTCACATCACATTCTACAAGCTCTCACATCACATTCTACAAGATCTCCTATTTTGCAACATATCTACCTTCATATCAGCCCCCTGACGTGTTGGTTGTAGTAAAATGACGTCAGTGGATTAGTGTGTGAGACGCATCAAAGGGTGCGTCATAGACTTTACATATTGATAATGAAAGGGTTAAAACAGAGCTACTTAACCATCACTGAGGCAGAGAGAGAGAGAGAGAGCAGGCACGTTTTTATACTACACACAGAGTTTCAAATATTATTTAAACTATCTAGAGAGTGTATTAAAACAGGCATTTAACACAACTGTGTATCTAATTTAAAAAATGAAAAAATGCTTCTATGCGGAATAAACATGTCTTGTGTATTTCGGGTTTGGTTATGTAAGGTACGTGACTTGGGTTTTAAATTCTGATTCTTTATTTAACTCAAGTGTTAAACAGAGTCCTCTCGTGAGTTTTGTATTTAATTTAAAGGAAGAATGTGCAACTTTTTGATCCAGTAGATGTCGCCCTTGAGCACCAACATTGAACCAAAACAAACTGCTGTTAGGCGACACCTCCGCTGTTCAGAAGCCTCCGCTCTCCTCCAGTGGCACACCTCCAATCGTGTTCGAACAAAGGAGTTATGAATTAGAACGCTCCATAATTCAGGGCTATTAAGCGCAAGCGTGGACAAAATTGTCCTTGGCTTGAGCCGCAATTTCCTGTGGCCTCAGCACGCTTTAGTTAACTCATAGCTCAACGTGGCACATAAATTAACACGCAATGACCGCTATCTAAAGACATTTACGTGACATCCAAATAAGCAGTGAGTAGGCTGTGTTCTTCTTCTATTCTTTAGTTCTTGACTAAAACAGCTTTATACGCAAGGCCGTCCAGTCCATGTAAACAAGATGTAAACACGGCCCGACAACAACACAGCCAGCGGGGCTCGAGCTTCTCACTCATTGTAGACAGTCATGACTCAGTGAGACATTTACACAGGATAGACTTGATTTCTGATGTTTTCATGAGTAAAATTCACACATTCTGCTTTTCAACTGCTCAGTTTTGAAATGACCATGTGTAAATAGCAGATTAAAAACTGCAACATGAGCTTCATACAGGATGTAGCATTTAGTTCTTGATTATTATCTAATAATGTGGTGTAATTTCCACCACATGGTGTTGCATAAAAATTAACCAAAGTCTTGGTTGCTCAAAGTTTCCTGCTAGTGGACCCCCAGACCCCCCTCCTATTAGCTGTGCACCTCACTAAATGAACCCTGCACTGGTGTGGAACAGCTGGGCTACCTACACTTTAAAATCAACAACTCACAACAAACACAAATGCCCAAAGACAAACAGCTGGAGCGCATGCCAGGCTGTTCTCACTTTTTATGACATGATGTTCAGTTTGTTCATCAGAGACCTATGAAGGAAGGTGAATGAGCATCAATAATACTAAAGTTCTGACTGCTTATATACTGCTTCTAGAAATATCTAAAAGGGCCCTACAGTGAAAGAGGTATCTGTTGTCACAGAGTTTTACTTAAATATTCAAAACAGTTTTAATAACACAACGATGATACCGTGTGGGACCAAAGATTGTATAAAGAATAGACAGGGAAATACCTTGCCTCTAGTGAAGCCAAAGAATGTAAAGCTACCCCTGCTAACTAGCGGCAGTTTTTGTCATAAACCCCGCCTCCTGCATGGGTCAAACTATGACATCAAAATGCACGTCCAATGCATTTTTCTCAAACCCGCTTTCATCCTGATTAGTTATTGGATGTAACAAAAAACAACATAAAAGGCCGGAAATGACAGCTCTGTTGATGAATAGGGCTCCTGCTGCGCTGTGTGCACCAGATTAGAAGAGTACAGCAAAAACGTTGAGAGAAAACGTAATGTGCACACGAGAGTTTTTGGACTTCCATAAACATGACTATGTGCTTTAACGGTCACAAGATTCTGTTCTGCTGTGGTCTGTACCCACACGAGGGATTTTTCACGTTGGTAAGTTACATGAGTGTTTTCGTTAACGGAAACAGCATGACATCAGCAGCACAGGTTTTCCAGCTGATCCCTAAGGCACAAACTGGCTGTAAATTTGCAACATGTCAGCGCCCGTCACAGGGATATTTTGGCTTCATCCTGCTCAACTGGAGGGGGCTGAGGCACACTGTCCATGCAGTCTACGTGTGGGACTAATGAAAAATGCAATTGGTTTGCATTATGGGAATTGTGGTATCCAGTTATTTTCCAGTAAGTTCCAGTATTAGGGACTAAAATATGGCCAATACCACTGTCTCTGCTTTTTCGTTTTGTTAAATCTGTCTCTGGTGAATTCTTCAACTTCATTAAAGTGAAATATCAAATCATTTGAAGAAGCCCTTTTAATTTCCTGTAAGGAACTTTTGGTTTGAGGTAGGGCAGACGAATATGGTATTTTTGGGGCCAATATTGATATTGGGGAGAGAATAAATCTGATACCGATATATCGGTCAATATCTTTCTTAGATCTCTTTTCGATCTGTAGTGTATATATTTACATATTTATTGCGTTGATCCCTGAAATGAAGTTATCAAACACCTGTGGAATAGATATATAATGAAGAAAAGATGGTCACTTAACTGGAAAGTAACTTAGCATGTGTGTGCATCACCACTTGACACTCTGAAGAGTGATAACGCTTGTTGTAATCCATATGGCGCCCTCTGCAGGTGAAAGAGAACTACTAGTGTAATACAATGAAACTCAAATGAAATCCTATTTACCGTGGGAATAAAAAGAGTAATATCGACGCAGCTCTGCGATAAAATTAGCCGATACCGATAGTCACATGAGGAAGTATCGACCGATATTATCCCCTGGCCGATTAATCGGTCGGGCTCTAGTTTGAGGTGATTTTTAGCATCCCCTGTGGGCGAAGCAGTTCACTTAATCTTGTTAAATATTGTGTACAGTACTTGTTTATGTTTTGTTTTCTGACAACAATAATCACATCCTGCTTTCTTTTAACAGTCAAATGTATCACCTATTGTGAATATATTCTCTTTGGAAATCATTGCTTGCTTAAGATGCTGAACAGTTCAGCATGCTGTGAATTACTTCATTTGACACCTACCCCGTGGCAGCAGTTTTAAGTGTGTTGTTTGCTTTTATAAGACATGAAGACGCACCCGTTTTTGTTTCAATCTATTTTATAAACATTTGCGTGATTCTAGACACATTGAAATCCAGTTGAACCATTTTTCATACACTTTTGCCATCAACAGAGTCACCTCTCCGGCTAATCTGATAGCACACTGTTTCAAAAGCATTATAGTAAAGCATGGTAGCAGCACACAAACACACACTGGTGTGACTGGCATCAGCATAGCCAGGTAGTATCCAGACTCACACACACAGACACATTGCCACAATGTTGATAGAAGTCTATAGTTTTGGTCGGTATTTTATGTTTGGTGATCAATAAAATCCTTCTGTAAACACATCAGTAACCTCCTCTTGGACATCCAGAGCAAACACACGTAGACTCTTCTGCCAAACCTGCAGACATGTATGGTTTGACTAAGCAGAAAAGATCAGATTCAGCTCACCCACACACTGTATCAATCTCTTTCCAAGGGACTGGAGCAACAGGCCTCTAGTGTTTGGGATATATCTGACACATAGATGCTTGTGATCAGGCCAATATTACAGTAAGGTGACAATGCCAAGATGCTAGCAGCTTACAATTACTGCTGGCTGTTCTGAAGCTCATATAGTTGTTTGGCCTAAAACTGTATTCCAGCCTTCCCCATCTGCCAACATCAAATAAAACATGTCCACAACTGAACGGTACTTTTGACCCCCAGTTTAAAGACAGGTTCTCTTTATCATCTTCATTTGATGCTCCTGAATTTAGACGTTTCACATTTAGGTGTTTGCATGGCACAAACCATTGTGTGCAGCCAATACTTGTCATGGACGTAGGAGTATCTTAATGAACTGAAGGGGGAAAAGGCCTCTTATCTACAGTGTATGGCATGTTATGTAAAACTAACATGGCCTGCTTTATAACATCGTCCATGATCAATACATGAGGATGCTACTGAGCAGGTGCTGCTCAGGAGTGATGTATACTGGCGACGTTACCCACCGCTTTCCATCTCGCTGCCCTTTCTAGCCGTGGGCGCGTTGCCCATTATGACAACCTGTCAACGGGAGATCCGTGGCTTTGTGGCCGCCCTGCAGCCGTCTCAAGCCGGTCGTAGCTCGATTAGGTCGAACCGGTGTTTCTTAAATCCGGCTGTACCCGTTACCAGGCGTTGAATCTGAGGGCTTGATCTTCAGCAACCTGACAGCTGCTGATGCGGTGCCGCGCAGAGACGGGGTAGAAAGGTGGGCTCACCCGCTGCACGGTCATCAACAACCGGCGACAGATATCGAGCTCAAATCCACGGTGAGCTACGGCTGTGGTAAGTCGGTAGCTGGGGCTTCACTGTCAGGCCGACCTCGGCGCACTTGGCCTGAACACGGAGGATCCAGTCTTCTCCTGTCCCTCCTTGCAGCCCCCTCCAAGCGAGGCCCCCCGGCTCCCCGCCTCTCCCCCAGCCCGAAAAACAGCGACGCCGACGGCGGGGGTGCTATGTTCTTAAGCGAGAGCTCTCCACTTTCCGTCCGCGAAGCCAGCTTTAAAAATTAAACATCGGCGGGGTCCGTCAACGACGGGAATTCACTCAAATCAACATTGCCCCCCCCCTGTATCCTCGGAGACGAGCGAGATGACGGAACTACAGCCGAGCGAACGCCCCGCCCATTCACCAGAACTGGGGTTGATTGACAGCTGATGCTTGGCTGATGATAGGCCACAGCACCACAGCGCTGTCTCACCGAGCCCCGTCATTGGTCCTTCGCTGTCCATCAAAAAAAAAAAACCGCCCCCCTCCCCCCTACAAAACCAAGCGAGAGGAGCGTCACCGATTATTTTCCTCCTGGCGACGAACGCGCCCACTTTCTCTTCTTTCTGTCATCCATTGGCTTGGCGCGGCTCAACCGTGGGAATCTCGGCGACTGTGAGGATTTCTATTGGCTGTCAGCACCGGTTGACAGGAATGGCCCCCTACCACCACCTTGGAAGAAAAAAAAAATCAAACTCCCTTCCTCCGCTTTGCCCCCCCCTCCTCGCCTCCTTCACTGCCGCCAAGCGACTGATACACGTTTGGCAAAGTGACGTCAACAGCAAGCTATATTTAGAAATGTTGGTCAGAATTTAACGCACGCGCGGCGCGGTCTGGCTGGCAAGACTTCTAAACAGATCGGAGACGGACGTGCACGGAGAGGACTTTAAATGATGGGAAGTGAGTTTGTTTTTAAAAGCGGTGCTGGATGCAAACACGCAAAAGCCACACACTATCTCTGTTACAACAACCTCCAACAGCATCCCTGTCATCCTCTATGCACACCTGCCTACAGGGAGTGTGCAGCAGACCAGGAGCCCCCCCCTCACCCTCACCCTCACCATCAAGATCCTCAAAAGGCAAATTTAGAATACATTTTACATGTCATAAAGGATCCCAGGCTTATAATCCAAACACCTAAGCTATAAATAGAAGAAAGCAGAGTCTGACAACATCATAGTAGGTCTCCACAGCCCCCTTCTTGACTCTTGTTTTGGTTTGAATGAAGCAGAGCCATAAATGTAAAGGTTTGATTATATAAGGAACGACCTGGGACAAGTGTCTGGTTTATTGCATCATTTTTCTGGCACAGGATTTCAAAAATACTGTCTCAGGTTTCAAATAACTTGTTTTCATGGTGAGTTCAGACGAGTAAAATAAAAACCAAAAAAGGCCTAACAGTACAACATCCCCATTAGTAAAGGCTATTACCTAACCCCTTATAGTTTTATTGTCAACCTAATGGTATAAACTGAGTTTGCTCTGACATAAGACAGCAAAACATTGCAGCCGAGAGCAAATAGATTTTCATAAACAACAATCCTGATTATTTATTGTATTCACTGTCAATCACCCTCTCATATACGTACTAATTATGCAAGGTAATGTAAAATATATGCTTTTTACATTCCATATACCTCCTTCTAGCTATCATCACCACATTTGTCAGAGTCTTACTCAACACAGGAGGCATGTGAGAAGCAGACTGAGCTAACAGATGGATGGAGGAGTTAGTCTCTTCTATGAAGGAGAGATAAAATGGGTGATAGCAGACAGTCCCCCTCCCTTTTGTGCTGCAGTTGCCTAGCAACATGAGGCTGGAGTGAAAATGGCGGAGTGATGCTGCTGAATTTTATGAATGAAATTGGAAGAAGAAAAAAAAAAAAGAAAAAAGGAAGGAGCCAAGATGGGGAGGGGGAAGAGTGGGCCGATGTGCACACCCACACACACACACGTGTGCTGAGTCTCGCTGCAGTTTTCTTTTCTTCCTTCCTCACTAGTCAAGGTGGAAAGAGGCAATGTTAGTAAGATGTGGTTTTAACAAGACGGCTTCACAGAATCAACAAAACAAACTTTATTTACCACATCACTGTCGGTACAAATAGTGAGGTACAGAATATAAGTACAAAGACAAAATATGTCCTCTTGAACTTGAAGACTTAATAAGCGCTGAGAAACATTATTTACAGTATGCTTACATCATCCAAACTAGTTGACTGCAATATGGCATCGCATTTTCAGTAACACTCCAGAGTACAAGGTAGAACTCTGCTTTAGCTCCCATGCTAACACTCAATCCTCCTCTGAGAACAGAAACCAGCACAATGCTCCTGTTCTAAAACCCAGAATGTGTTTCCAAAGGTATCCCGATGCTTCAGATTGATGCCAGATGAGACAAACCTTCAGAACAATTAAATGCTACATTCATTCCGACAGACAAACCACTCACTCATAGCTTTGATCTGTGCTCAAGAGAACATGTGAACTGCACAGGAAAAAGTACAAACAGGTCAACATAAGTAAGTTAATTTGATTTGTGAGTCTGATAATGCTGCCATAAGAACGTTTCACACTCATGACATGAACTTTTCTCCGCTCAGCGTTTACTTTATCAAAAGACAGTTAAATAAGGCAAAGTTGGACGTGATGATGTGTTTGTTTTGAAAGTACGGTAAGTGAGCGTGAAAGACTTAGTAACAGCTACATATCCAACCCTTTTTGCGTATAAAAATAACGTCCCTGATTTCTTATATGTTGAGTAGATAAGTCCTTGGCGTCCTTGTCCAAAAGAGCGTTAGTGATGTACAAAGATAAGAAGAGCTTCTTGTCCATTATCTCAATCTGTTGATTCTTACATGAAGTCCATGGAGTTGTCCGGCATCAGTCCAATTTGCGGCATCTTTCCTGGTATACAGGCTGGAGGGAGCATGCCGCTGATGTTGGGGGACGGGTCCACGTTCTCGCAGTCCTCCATCTTGTCCGCTGAGCCCTCCCAGTTGATGTGGAAGCGGGTCACACGAGGGTTGGAGGCCAAAATATTCCGCTGGAGCTGAGAGAGAGGGAAAGAAAAAAGAAAAGCAGCACTGGTGAAAAGCTGGAACATGATGCTGGAATTAAGGGGTTAAAATCATAAGCTAAATAAATCAATGATGCACTGGCAGAGTGTTCTTTCAAGACAGTCGACTAGGACAGCAACGGTTTTTTATATACGTTTGAACGTCACGTTTCAGTATATGCATAAGACAAATACATCTGGGTGAAGTAAAAAGGCAGTCACACATGGCAGTATCCACACCCTAATCCAGGTGGCAGTAATGCTAAATGTAAGCTAACCCATTTTTAACGACAAAACAAAGAAAAGAATTAAAGCAAGATGACATGACGGAGCTTAATGACCCGTCAGCTTCTTTAAACCAGTTGTGTGGGGGAACTTCAGGCACTACAATCCAATTCTACAATTCACTTAGCAGAATCTTTTGTCCAAAGTGATGAACATCAAGGAGTAAGTACAACACAAGCAAGGATCTGAAGAGGAGGAAACAACATCAGTAAGTGCAAACAAACAGGTTCTTTTTAAGGTTCACTTTTGGGGCTTTTAATGCCTTTATTTAGAGACAGTGGAGAGACTCAGAAACTGGGGAGAGAGTGCTGGGAAGGATAAGGATAAGGATAAGAGCCACAGGTCGTACTCAAACCCAGCCGCCTGCTTGGAGCACCATGAGTTCAAGTCCGACCTGTGGGTCTTTTCCCGCATGTCAATCCAATAGACGGTAAATATTAATGGACGAAGCCTGAGTGATGTCACCCATCTGCTACTGCAGGGGGCTTTGGAGTACCATCGGCAGCAGCTGCCATGCTGGACATCCTGTCTCAGCCTAACTATCAGTCAACCGAACGACAGGCTGAGAGCTGGAGCTTTTTCCTTGAAATCGCCTGTCAATCAGGTCAGCTACACACCTTATCGTGAATAACTCTTAACCTTCAAAAATCTAAACGGATGAGTTATCAAAAAAATCACCTAGAAAAATTGGGCATCTAGCATCTTGTTTCTTTTTTCCTGTTGACCAGACTCGTACTGAATTGAGCTCCCACAACTGAAGTACGAACCGAACTGTGACCTCTGTGAAATGTTACATCACCAATATTTAGTAATAATTGAATATTGAGATGTTAAAAATAACATTGAAGGCTAATTTGGATAACATAGATAAGACTTTGAATGATTTAGTGAGATGTCTGAATCGCCATACATGAACTTAAATAAACAGTCAGCCTGTCCTTACACACAGCAGTACATGTTACCTTTGTTACTGAGAAAATTCTTAGCTATCATAATAGCTAATCTTGCAGGTGGCAACAAGTTGACACCTAATCTGAGGGCGATGATAGCTGGCCTGGTCTTCATACAGCCGTCTAAGGCCCTGTTCACACTTGACTTCTTTTTTCAACTGCCTGCGCCTTTTTTATATACAAGCCTATGGAAAAATGAAAAAGGATGACGCCTTTTTAAAAAGCGAACGCCTTTTCAAAAAGCGCTACGCCCGACACCTTTTTGAGTTGAATCATTTAAATTTTTCAGAAAAGCGCTGGGTGACGTCAAGCGCCTTTCTGACAGCTGACCATCAGGACGAGTAGTAACCTACGTCCCTAGTTACCTGTGCCCAAAAACGGCAAACTTCCACCAGATATGTGTGCACTGTCCGCTCCGGTCTGTTACGGGTCCGTGCATCCTCATCCGTCAACACCCACCGGCTGCGTTCTCAGTCTGCACACACGGAGAGCACAGCCGGACAGCTGGAGTACGGAGAAAAAGGAATTTCCGCGGTAATGTTACAGATTCACTCGCGACAGCACGAGATAATACGATGTACGTGGTATAAAACTCAATAAAAACCTTATAAACACGTAAACAAACACACAAACGGTCGTTTTTCTGAACCGGCAAAACAGAGAGTTTTATTCTGAAAATAAATTGGATGTTTTAATGTTGTATCAGTGTCTGACTTCCCGTCCTGTTTGTTCTTTTCTGTACTAAATTGATGCGTTGTGCTCCGGCCGGATCCGGCACGGTTGAACAGTAGGCTAGATCCTGTTGTTAAGGTTACAGAACACTCGTGCATCAGCGCTCAAAAGGTGCTGAAAGCAGCGTTTTTTTCTGAAAAAAGAAGTCCAGTGTGAACACGGCCTGAATGTGAGGTCCATGTATTCATGGACTTGTCTGCCAACAAGTAGATTATGTAAACACTTTTCTCACATCAGGAAATCTACTGAAAAACTCAGGAGGTTACCAGGAGGGGCTGTATATGTGAACGCGAACATCCGAATT